TCTAGGCATGATGAAGCAGATATCGTCCTCTTTTGGAAGGCCAAAGTAGTTTCGCTATCACAACGAAACACACAGAACACAAACACACACATATCTCTTTGGATTTGAGACTTTAGTCTTTGCAACTTTACAGATCTTCTTTATGCACCAAGAGCTTGTAACACTCCAAAGAGAAAGGAAAAATTGAATTCGCATCATATGACCCCTTTAACATCATCCACATTTCGTTTAATTTGATTTCCTACCGTATGAGAAATTAAGAGGTGCGTTGATCTGCTAGTCGGGGGTCTATCATGCCGAGAACTCTGCTCATGTGTTTGCATAATGATGCATTTAAAAGTTAATGACCAAACGTATCATTATAAAAGTTCACAGTGTTGCTGCAGATGAAATATAACGTGGATAACATTAAATTTATATTTTTTCATCAGGTTAGACATTGATTATTTATTATTCAAATCCGTTTATCTACCTGTCCGTTGGTCGCGTATATCTGCCATGTTTGTAGTTTTTTTTAAACACTTTTAATGCGTGTTTGTAGTTCTAATTGAATCCTCGTCCACCGCGCAATGTGTTGTGGGCATTATTAGCCGCTAGAGTGTGCATTGATCTGCACTTCGAATTTTAACCGGAAGTAGTAGACCATCCGGGAATCTTTGGCATACTTTAAACATACTATGATTTGGGACATACTAATTCTATTTTCGAATACTATTTAGGACGGATAGTATGTGAATTGGGACGCAGCAAATGTATACACTGGATGCGATGCGGTGCGACACGACAAGACAAATGCCCGACAGTGAACTGATGCCTCGTTATATTTATGATATACTGACACAAGTTCAAATTATTTTTAACAGTCGCTTTGCCGGGCGCACACTGTGCAATTTTTAATAGTCCTTTACGATTGTTGCTTGTCGGACTGCACGAACATGATGATCATGTCACACTGTGGGATCTCAGTGGTCATTAATGTCATTGACTGTACGACAGTCAAGATGTGTTAAAAACAGATGCGAGCAAGAAAACTTGTCCGGAGTTTTGCATTATCAACCCATACACGGTCAGTGACTGCAAGCTGCATTGCACGTGGGGCTGAAATGTTGAAAAGTACATGAATGGCAGCAATTCCGGCATATTTAAAAAGAATAGTGTAAGCAGCTCTACACACCCAAATCAAAACAGTGGCGTCAACCAGTCCTTATCATAGCAAAGGCAACATATCATATGAATACTGTGAGCAGCGGCCAGGTTTATGGCGGTTAGAAGATTAATTCCAGAGCCGATCCTCCCTATACGCAAAGCTGCAGGGACCCCGAAACACCAGGGGGCCCCCTTGCTCTCAAAGATGATTTAATTTTAGCTTAGTTTTTGAATTTGGCTAGCGTTTATGAAAACATGAATGATCATTTCTTTTAATGCGGCGCGCTGTCGCCTTTTCTATGTAAAAATCAGTCAAATCATGTAATGTGAATGTCGTACAGTCTTGCTCGAGACTAAAAAAAAGAAATCTCTAGCATTAATTCTGATCATGGCTTGTCTTGAAAAATGAAGACAGTTTGACGTTTGTCGTAGAAGTCACACTGATGGACTGTGTGCCAAATCTTCTGACACTACCAGAATTTCTTCTGAGGTAAAATTTGATCGCAATGGCCATTAATCGGCTGACGGTGAACATGTCAAACCAGCAATCAAAGACTACAGATTTTAGCCTAGGATTATTGGAATCTCTTAGGATTTTAAAAATTTGTCTCAGACGACCAAATCGTGGCCAAAACCGCACACTGTTGCGGCACGGTGCAACGATGTTAGTGGGAATGTCTAAACCACCTCCGAGTCACTGTCATCGGATGCCTGCGTGTTGCCAGATGTTGAGGGGGTTCTTTTGCATTGTCATGGACCGTAACAAATCATGTAATGTGAATGTCGTACAGTCTTGCTCGAGACTAAAAAAACGAGTTGAAAGCGTACCGAGCCGCGGAAGAGACAGTGTTCCTCAAGGGCTTTCCGCGAGCGCGATTCGAGACTGAGTGAAACACAGATTTCATTCATTCGTTCATAACCACTCATACCCCACTCCGCCGCCCCCCCTCCTCCCCACCGACACAGTTTTGCATAGGGCCCCTAAAAGTCTAGGATCGGCACGAATTAATTCTGATCATGGCTTGTTTTGAAAAATGAAGACAGTTTGACGTTTGTCGTAGAAGTCACACTGATGGACTGTGTGCCAAATCTTCTGACACTACCAGAATTTCTTCTGAGGTAAAATTTGATCGCAATGGCCATTAATCGGCTGACGGTGAACATGTCAAACCAGCAATCAAAGACTACAGATTTTAGCCTAGGATTATTGGAATCTCTTAGGATTTTAAAAATTTGTCTCAGACGACCAAATCGTGGCCAAAACCGCACACTGTTGCGGCACGGTGCAACGATGTTAGTGGGAATGTCTAAACCACCTCCGAGTCACTGTCATCGGATGCCTGCGTGTTGCCAGATGTTGAGGGGGTTCTTTTGCATTGTCATGGACCGTAACATAGTGCTCGTTGGCTTAAAAGCAGGGCACCCTCCTGCATTCTTAACACAATCTGAGGTGTGCACAAGCCCATTTAGTGTGTAATGAGCCGATTTTGTGTATGAGTATAGAAGCCCTATGATTACAACTGCCATTATTTGAAGTGCCACAAAATTCTGAGGTTATCTTACATTACGGGATTTTTTCATTATTGATCGTACATAGTACTGAGGTCAAAATTATTGTACAAATACGATAATTATAGTATGTCTGGCAACACTGTTCCTCTTTCATGTCTCCTTATATATCCCCACCCCCCTCCAGCCGGTCAGCGAGAATATTTTCAAAACGTAACTGGTCTGTGGTGTAAAAAAGGTTGGAGCGACCCTGATTACATATGGACTGTACAGCTCTGTTGCTTTGACGCACTGCACACTTTAAACTGTAGAAATGGTCAAATGGTGCTACCGTTTGAGTCTCGCAGGATTCGAAACCGGACCGCGGAATTCGTTACAAGAATTGTATAGCAATAATCTAAGGTTTTCAAAGGCTACAAAAAGTGCACTTAAGGGATAGTTCACCCAAAAATTAAAATTCTGTCACTACTCACCCTAATGTCTGTAAGACCTTCGTTCATCTTCAGAACACAAATGAAGATATTTTTGATGAAATCTGACAGCTTTCTGACCCTGCAACATAGCTGAAACATTTTATGGCCCAGAAAGGTAGTAGGACATTGATAAAACCATCCATGTGACATCAGTGGTTCAACCGTAATGTTATTAAGCTACGAGTATATTTTTTGACAAAAATAACGACTTTATTCAAAAATTCTCTTCTGGGTCAGTCTCCGCTGCCATTCACGAGAGCACCACGACGCATATATGTGCTTGCATGCTTGTAAACAAGGTGCAGTGCATGCGGGTTCTGCATGACAGCCATGCATCGTGGTCTTTGCGCACAAAAAGTCTTCTCATAGCTTTATAAAATTATGGTTGAACCACTGATGTCACATGGACTATTTTAATAATGTCCTTACTACATTTCTGGGCCTTGAACGTGTCAGTTGCATTGCTGTCTATGGAGGGTCAGAAAGCTCTCAGATTTCATCAAAAATATCTTAATTTGTGTTATGAACTAAATATTGTATGGGTTTGGAATGACATGAGTAATTATTGGGATTAATGTCATAATTAATGACAGAATTTAAATTTTTGGGTGAACTATCTCTTTAATAATAGCACATGAAATGGACCCAAACGTTCAAGAAAATGACTCACTTTTCACTATAACTGTTGCACATCATAGTGACTAGTGTTTTTATACCTCTCTAATTAAGTTTGCCTTTTTTCCCCTAAAGAAACATAGCATTTTCACCAAGTTAACCAGTCAGAATTGTGAATTATCAATTTCTGTTGCAGTTTCTTGACCATTCAAGAAGCGTTCTTCTAGCTTCTATAGTTGCAAAGCTTTGATATTTCAAAAATATTTTGCAAAATGCTTGCCAATTTGGTGAAGATCAGATCTGTGTGTTAGGGTTAGGGTTAGGTTAGGAGTTCAAAAGGTATGTTTTTGTTTTTGTTTTTTTGGAGAACTGAAAACATAGCTAAAATTATAGACAAATTTAATGTAACTTGATATATTTTTTTATTTTTTCAAATTACGGTATATTAACAATGACCAAGGTCATGAGTTTGATTTAATTTTAGAGAGTAAACTACTAAGTACAGCTAATTGTGACTAAATCAAATATATTGTTCAAAATACTGTAGCCAGTAACAAGTCAAGGTTTTTCATGGCCTGGTTATGTTTACATTCTGGTTCTTCTTCAAATTAAATTATATAAGATATAATATTGTTTATATGTCAAAAAACAGAAATATAAATTTCTTAGTTCTTGGACACTCTAATTTCCAGGTATACAGTACATAAAAAACAACAGTAAATGAACTGCAGTGAACGATATAAGGAACAACTTAACAGTGAGAGCTTTATTTAGTTATCCAGTGCCAAATAACACTTTTCTCTAGTATTTTACCCACACCCATTACAAGATAGCATCTTATATTTTCCATCAGCTGTTGCAGGGTCAGTTTCTGTCACTGCATTTGACTCATGATATAAACGACACAGAAAGTGAGACAATTAGCAACTGAGTGTGAATAGGAGGGTCCACACATGAATACAGAGGCTCATGTGTGGATATATACGTATATATATATATGCCAAGAGTGCGTGGGTGTTGTTATAACACTTCTCTGAAGGTGCGATTGTTTATTTGCTGCGGTTTCCGAAAATGTCGGGCTCATTTGGACACACCCTTGAACTCGATTTCCTTCAGCAGCTTATGCAGTCGTTTGTCGAGAAAGTTCTGCTCCGTCCAGTTCACTGCAGGGTGAGACGAGAAGGAAGAACAAGCGAAGATCTGGCCATTTAAGATACTTCCTATAATTATGTGTGTGTGTATTCTATTTCTAAGTTTTTTTTTTTCAGAACTTAAACTACATTTCTGTTATTTTGTGGTTGCTATAGTATTCTGAGTGTTTTTTAGTGTGTTGCTGTGCAGTTACTAGGGTGTACGGAGTTGTTGCTAAGTGGTTGTTTACTGGCCTACTTCAAAAGAGTACAACTACAAATCTATATGATACTCTGCTCTCTCTATGGAATATTTTCACATTGTTTATCAGCTCCTAACTTATGCCTAACCCACATTTGTAAATTTGGTGTATTTTTGCACACATTTGACTTACATTAAGATCAGGGCCCATATTCATGAAATGTTTTTAGTGTAAAGAGTTGCTCCTAGTGACAAAATTCTAAGAAATTTCCCCCTGCAATTAAACAGATAATCCTAGGAAAGATAAAAGTTATTCCCAAGGTATCTTAACCCTTAAAATAGCTCTTAAGGTCAAAAAGTGTTGGGAGGAGGTCTTACTAGAGGCTTAAGAGTTTCTTTAGGAGAGGAGAAAATGGTCGAAAGATGAAGAGGAAGAAAAAAATGTGAGGCAGACAAATGGATGACAGTGACTTAAGACGCTAGATTAGATCGTGCAGGGATCATGTTTGTGAACAATCTTATTAGACACAACAACCTATATATGTATGTAGTGCTTAACAAATTTATTAGACCACCATCACCAATGTAAGGTTTGTGCCACAGCTGCCCTAAACTAACAGTATTGATGATTACCAAAATAATTTTTTATGTTTCTGTAATAGTTCATTCACACCAGTGTGTAAGTTCTTTATTATGTATATATAAATACACATACATGCATGTATATATTTCAGAAAAATATGTTGCGATTATATATTATATATATAATATAAATTATAAGAATGTAAATATATATACACATGTAAATACATGTAAATATTTTCAAAATATATACTGTATGTGTGTGTATTTATATATACATAAAAAATATACACAGTACAGACATATATGTAAACAAAAAAGTTTTATTTTGGATGTGATTAATCGCATATATATATATATATATATATATATATACATACAGAAGTCAACATTTGCATTGGATCAAAAAAGTACATCAAAGTTGTCCTAAAACAAGAATGCATTTTGGTTTTAGCTTTTAGGACAACTTTGATGAAAGGTTTTGATCCACTTCAAATGTTGACTAGTGTATATGTGTGTATATTAGGGTAAAATCGAAAAAAATAGACCCTATTTAATAGTACTCTTATTTTTTTCAGCTTGGACAACACAGTCTTCAAAAGAATGTGACATACCTAGCAAAGGGGTCAGCAGCCCCGCCTCCTCACTAAAATGAAAGTTTTTTGTCTTTTCCTCGCTCAGAGTTGCTCTCAAATTGGTCCTGAATCACTCTTAAGATAACACTCCTAGTTAGAATTTATTTAAGCTAAATTAGGAGCTCTCTGAGAGGATTCTTAGAAGATTTAAGAATACGGGCCCAGATCTTCATTTAAGTCCTATAATGAGGAACAGATTAAACTATTCCCGAAAATGAAAAAAAAAAAAAAATTATTTATAGCAGTGGTTTTCAACCTTTTTGAGATAGCCCACAATCCAGAAAATTAAATAACAATAATAATAAATACATATATATAATAAATAACATTTATTTTTTGATATCTTGTGGCCCCACTGATTTATAGAGAGAGTTATGAGAAATGAGAGAATAGGATTGTAATCCTCAAGCCTACCTAAGTGATCTGTTTTGTGGCCGTGCCAGTGCTCTGGATCATGGATAAATGCTGGTAGAGGATGATGAGCATATGAGTCCTTAACCAGCGATGACCACACAACTGGGGGCCCTTTAATAGTGGACACATACAGTACAAGATTTGTAATAGAGTTATGTAATATACTAAAAAGATGCAGTTTTTCTATGCGTTCAAAACACACCTGGAAAGATGTTTGCACGCAGATAGTGGCCCATCATATTATAAGATCTGTGCTCATCTGTGCAGCCTGAGCCTGTATCGGAGTAGTGAGGAGCACAAAGCGGAGGAACCTGCGGGTAGTGCACTCTGCCCACCTGACATGCACATAAATACACATTTGTGTGATGATACGAGCCGCATAGGAATCCTCATGCAACAGCATTTCAGTGTTCTGAAATAATCAACTTAGTGATTAATTTTGAACATTGGATTACACACAAGTTACTCGGTTCAGAACTGACCTGACTGCCGCTCTCCTTCCTCTTCTCTGATTTGCTGATGGTGTTCATCCTCTACTTTTTCTATCAGTAAGTACAATTTATCAGCATGGTAACCAAAGTTAATGCAAATGATAGACAAATGATGCAGATTAAAATTTCCAAGTAGTTTGGAATAAAACAGTTTGAATACATACATAGCACTTTAGTAATTTGATAAAACTGCTGATGCTACATGAAAATATGCCAGGTTTGGTTTGCCTGCTGTTATGAGTCCTTAAGAACTTCAGCCAATGAGATGTCCATAATATCAAATAGTGACTGGACACATTTCCTGAAACCAAAGTGAATCAAGCCGAATTAAGACTTTGGATAGTTAAAGTAAGAGGAAGTTTGTACCTACCGACCGGCAGTTGGGCATGTTTTGTTTGGCGTGGGCGAAACTCTACCTGCGATATTAATAAATAATTGACTTCTACAGAGTATCAGTGGTTACAAATCGTGACCGCATGATGAACATCACACAAACATGGCAAAGCATCATAACGAGTTTAGCCAAAAATAAAAAACCACAAGATGATACAGGTGAAAAAGGAAACTGTTAACAACATAACAACAATGCTTTTAGCAACCACTTTATCTTTTTATTTCAAATTATACTTACACTCATTACATATATTATGGCCACACTTATTTTAATTACTATAATGAAACAGTAAAAAAGTAAATAATTTTATATATTTATACTATATATATATATATATATATATATATACACACAGAAA